AAAAAAAAAAGGGTGCTCTTGGGGCCCTGACGTTCTTGATTAAGTGCTGCCTCCTGGCGGCGGCTCCCTTGCCCGACGTTCACCAGGCCTGGAGAAGACCACTTGCTCTAATTTGGAATTTCAAAGCTGACGCAACAGCTCCCGCGAGGGGGCGGGGAGTTGGGAACCTGGCGCGCGGAGACTGCCTTCTGGGAGACCCCTCCCCCGGCTCCAGGCAGGCGCCGTCCGTCCCCTCTCCCCACCCCCGCCCCGCAGAGGGGCTTCCCGGTCTAGGGGCCTAGGGCTGGAGGCAGGTTGCCTGGGGTTGGGGCTCTCGCCCAGACCCCTGTATGGCCGCCTCCTTGAGCTAGATTGGGAGGGAGGGAAGAGGAAGCTGAGCGTTTCTGGTACAAAGAAACTAGTTTCTCAGGGTGTCCGTCGTCATTTTCATTTCCCCTGGGCAGTGAAACTGTGCCGGAGCGGGGAGAGGGCAGGGGAGCGGGTTTCGAGGCCTCTCGGTTCTCGGACCTCGGACATTTGCTTCCTTCGCCGTACACCCACCACAGCCCCCGCTTCTAGCGCTTCCTAGAGTCGGGGACAGGGCCGGGGCTGCTCGGGCAGGTGGCTGGAACGAAAGGGACGCCCAGTGGGGTGAGGTCCTGGTCCCTAAGGCAGAGCCTGGGTTGACCCCAACAGTCAGACTTGGATGTCAGGGGCGACCCTGCTGTTCAGAGGGGTCCTGGGAACGGACGGTGGCTGGTCGAGGCTTGGGAAGGAAGGCGAACTTTTGGACCGCGGACACGGAACTCGGGGTTCAAAGGAAAGAGGGAAATAAAGGGAACTGGGGCCTGGAGCAAGAGAGTGGGTGGGTGGGAATGTGGGAGACAGGGGCAAAGGTGAGCACCGCCGGCTGGCCGGGCGGGGGCGGAGGGGGGATGGGAAGGGGCGAAAGAGGTCTGCGGGGATCGTGGGGGAAGGGAGAGCTGGGGGTAGGGAGTCGGCGGCGCGGGGCTCTAAGTTCACGCTTAGGCGTTGGCGGGCTCCGCTCTTCTTGAGTCCACCTGCGTTTGCGTGAACCTGGGCGCTCGCCTCCTTCTCCCTTCAAACCCTGTCCTTTCACCCGTTCACTTCTGTCCTGTAGCACCTTGCGCTCGCCAGCTCCGCGCCGCACCCAGACCTGTCTCTTGCGCCTGGGTGTGGAACAGAGCAGCCAAGAAGTTCCCGGATCCGGGGAAAGAGCATTAGATGAGGGGATTTTTGTTTTGTCCTGCTTTTTCCGTTAATGAAACAAGTCTGTATCAAACCACTGTGAACTTCTCAGTAAAACTATGAAAACCATAATTTTCTTCCCTTCAGCGCGTTACTATTCGGAAGAATAAGTACCTCCAAATACTCCTTGTTCAGGAGCCAGAGCAGCAGCGGCACAGACCTGCCTGGCAGCCCAGCCAGCCAGGAAATCAGTCAACACTGTTCATTGATTCGTTTATTCACCCAACAAATATTGACTGCCTGTA